GATGACTGGGAGTGCCTTTTCAGGGCTGGGATGAGTGCTGTATCTATCCATCTACGTAGGAATAGCCAATCTTTCCTTCCAGCCTCTGAATTGAAAGAAAGCTCCGCCTCTCAGCTAAGTGCTTTCTTTCGCCTCTCTTTAGCGGATTGGAAGCAGTTGTTGGATTGCTGTTGATTTGTTCAGTTGGGTGCTAAGCGTAGGTGTAGAAAGCAACATGTGCAGCTCTGCCATTTCAAGCAAATATTGTTTAAAATCCTTTATCCCACAGAACAAGTTACTGAGATTTTAACGAGAAAGGGCTGGACTATGGGAAACTGGTAGCATAGGTATAGAAAGCAACATGTGCAGCTCTCCATTTCAAGCAAATATTGTTTACAATTCTTTATCCCACAGAACGAGTTACTGAGATTTTAACGGGAAAGGGCTGGACTATGGGAAACTGGTAGCTGTTCTCTTGTAGCTGAAATAATCTTTTATCAGAAACTCGAAACTCTGCAACAAGTAGCCCTAAAAAAGGTCCAGCTTGGGCACAGATTGGGGTTGGCCTTGAAGCTCAATTCCCTGGATGTAGTGTGATGACTGGGAGATAGATGACGCTAGACTGCACCAAAAACACTCCAAAAGGTGATCTGTTTCCTCGTCGGATCACACCCGAAGTCTTTTGTAGCAAAACCAACGAAGAACCTTATGGCAACTTAAGAGACAGACAAGACTGGCTGATTACAAGCTTTTGTGGAATGCAAACACAAATAAAATTAAAGCATCCTGAAAGACTTCCAGTATGGAAGCAAAGTTCAGTTCTTGCAAACTCAAACCTGTGGCTTCCTTTAGAGACTCAGCCCATCTCATATTGGGTCTTCCTCTTTCCCTGCTGCCTTCCACGTTTCTGAGCCACGTTGTATTTTCCAGTAAACCTTGCCTTCTCATGATCTGCCCAACGTCGGACCGCCTCAGTTCCATCATTTTTGCCACCAGATAAAGTTCAGGCTTTATTTGCTCTAAGACAGCCCTGTTTGTCTTTCGGGCAGTCCAGGGTATCTCTCTGCACAGCTCTCCTCCAGCACGTTTCGAAACAAACCATTCATTTTTTTCTCTGTCAACTTTTCTTCACTGTCCAGCTTTCACATCCGTACATAGGAATGAGTGCTGATGACCTTGTCTTGGTCTCCAGAGACACATCCATTCGCTTTATGATCTTCTCTAGTTCTTTCATAGCTGTCTGTCTAAGTCTCATAGTTTGTCTACATAGGCTCTTCTGGAACAAGCTGGTTTGGTCACTTTACCTTAGGTAAAGGTAAAGGTTCCCCTTGACATTTAGTCCAGTCGTGTCTGACTCTAGGGTGCAGTGCTCATCCCCATCTCCAAGCCGTAGAGCCAGCGTTTTGTCTGAATACAGGTTCCGTGGTCACGTGGCCAGCGTGACTAGACACAGAACGCCGTTACCTTCCCACCAAGGTGGTACCTATTTATCGGCTCGCATTTTACATGCTTTCGAATGGCTAGGTTGGCAGGAGCTGGAACAAGCGACGGGAGCTCACTGCGTTGCATGGATTTGATTTTACGATGGCTGGTCTTCCGACCTTGCAGCCCAGAGGCGTCTGCGATTTAACCTGCAGTGCCACCATGTCCCCCCCCCCACTTTACTTTAAGGAATGATAAAAGCGGAGACACTAAATTAAGATGCATCTTCAGGAATAATAGCCACATCAGCGGAAGAGGGTGGACAATTCCAATGATGATGGAGGTGGAAAAAGTCCTGGCAGGCACCAGCCGGACTTCAACAGCAGTGGAAAGTAACGTGAACAGAGAATCTTCTATTTTCAATGGCAGTGACACTGAAAGGTAACTTGTAAGACTACAGAGAAGGAGGCCATGGTAAAACACTTGTACTGTATTTGGAAATAGACCAAAACGGAGTACTCCTTAATGTACTAAACAAGTAGATGCTCCCAAAAGAGGACCAGAAAGATATGGTTAGTAATGCTCTCTAGGGAAAGACAGGTTAGCTCCAGCAATTACATCCTGTGATCACACAATTTTAGATGGTCTCCTCTTAGGGTTTTCAAGGTAAGAAATAATCAGCAGGGGCTTCTGTGCTGTGTTAACAGCGTCATTTTGAATGCCACTGGTGTTGTCTGTGAAATATCCTTAACTTTAACCAGTGTCACACTGAGAGGTTTCCCTACGTGTTAATTCCTGAGAAGGGGGAATGTATTTGAGACTGGTGTCTCAGCTTTGACCATTCTACAGGTCACCCAGATGTTCATGGACTGCAATTCCCAGAAACCCCAGCCAGCACAGCTGGTGGTGAAGGTTTCTGGGAATTGCAGCCCAAGAACATCTGGGTGACCCAAGGTATGGGAACCACTGGTCCAGAGCCATGTTTCGAATCACAAATACATTTTGTCATCCTAATTAAATACTTAGCCCCTTAGCTTTGGTTGGCAGTCCCTCCATGAACTTGGTATGATAGGACTTCAAGTGACCACCCACCTGACCCGCTCTTAAGGTTGGCCTTGCTCATTTACAATCCCTCTCACCTGCAATTTGGGATCAATAGCTTCTGTGAACATTGGCAGGGCAATTTTAAAAGCAAGGGTGTGCATCCTCTGGCCTTTTAAAAAAAAATCTACCAGCCCTAGGTGACAAGAGTTGTAGAGGAATTTCTCCCTAACTGGAGAAATTCAATAAATGTGGCATTTACATGCACGATTGATGTCCCACCATGTGTACCAAAGAAGATCTAGCAAATGGCCAAGACAACGCTATTGAAGTAGCCCACTTCTCATTTTAAAAAAGGCCAATTATCATAACATTTTAGTTTGTTTTTAATTTTGCGTGTATTTCATATACGTCCATAATTATAAATTGAGCAAAACACTTGCCTAAAGAAAGAAACCAGCCCTAGCTGGCAGAGTGAATGTTGGGGATGATAGGTGTTGTAGAAAACAAACACTGGAGGATCCCAGCCACCCGTCCTAATTTTAAGTGTTTGAAAATCAAGATAAGAAATCACCTGAAAAAAGAACCAAGTTAGATCCACAAGAGATGATTGGTCAAAGGGTAACCCATGTGTGACCTTCCAGATGGTACTGCACTGCAATATTCATCATCCTTCATCTCTGAGTACATTGGGTAGGGCTGACCAACATTGCAGCAGGGCTGTAACTGTTGTTGTTGTTTAGTCGTTAAGTCGTGTCTGACTCTTTGTGACCCCATGGACCAGAGCATGCCAGGCCCTCCTGCCTTCCTTTGCCTCCCGGAGTTGGGTCAAAGTCATGTTGGTCGCTTCGGTGCCCCTGTCCATCCATCTCGTCCTCTGTCATCCCCTTCTCCTCTTGCCTTCGCCCTTTCCCAGCATCAGGGTCTTTTCCAGGGAGTCTTCTCTTCTAATGAGATGGCCAAAGGATTGGAGCCTCAGCTTCAGGATCTGTCCTTCCAGTGAGCATTCAGGGTTGATTTCCTTCAGAACGGATAGGTTTGTTCTCCTTGCAGTCCAGGGGACTCTCAAGAGTCTCCTCCAGCACCACAATTGAAAAGCATCAATTATTTGGCGGTCAGCCTTCTTTATGGTCCAGCTCTCACTTCCATGCATCGCTAAGGCTGTAAACTAGGATAGTGCAACCGGAGAGGGCAGTGAAGCCCAGGAGACGAATCTACCCATCTACCCGAGTGTTAGGAAAAGAAGTATCAACCCCTTCCAGCTGTACCTGTTTTCCTTTTTTGGAAGGGGGGAAGTATATGGGGGGTGTCTCTCTTGCAGGGGGAGAAACCCCATACTTCTAATATTGGAAGAAGTAGCTGTGTTAGTCTGTGCAAGCCTATCCGGCAACCCCCGCCCCCCCCAAAAAAGACAAAATCCTTGTAGCACCTTCACAACTTGTCCTTCTGTGTGTAGAGAACTGGGTGGTTACACTCCATCCACAGCTATTTCAGCCCAAACCTTAAAACAGCGACCGGACCGTGGTCTGGCAAATTCCATCTGGCTAAGAACGTTTGGACTTTTGATTTCTTCACACAGGTACAACCCTGACGAAGGGCTGTTTTGATCCATGAAAGCGATTTTTAAAGTGCTCTGTAAATGTATCCCCTATTTTTGCATCTGTATTTTAGGTGTCTCACACAGCTACACTTTATTTCAATTATGTTTAAATATGAGCTTTTGTGGCACCTTAACAAGACTAACTTGTTATATATCCTATCAATATTTTAATAATAATATTTTAATATTCAAGTTCAAGTTTATTGTATTAGCCAAAAGCTGTCACAATTGTTTAAAATACAAATATGATCAAATAAAATCATGATAAAATCAGGCATATAAAATAAAAAATATATAATAATATTTTAATATTGCATTTTATGTTTTAATGGGTGTGTTTGTGGCTCAAATCTTGTGGCACCTTAAATATTATAATATAATGATAACAACATTTTAATATTACATTTTTCTTATTTTAAGGTGAGCTTTCATGGACCAAGTCCTGAGGCACCTTAAATATATTTCGTATATTATATTTTATTATATAACAAGAACAATAATGATTTAATGTTACATTTTTCTGTTTTTAAGGTGAGTTTTCGTGGACAGGTTCCAAGGTGCACATTAAAATGCAACCATTAAGTCCTGCAAGGCGTCCCAAGGTTTTTGTCTCTACTTTTAAACAATGTTTTTCTTTGGGTTTTGCCTGGAGCCCCTCCCCGCCCCCGAAAGCCTGCCTTTCTTCCCAAATTCTAAGTGACCACCAGCCCTAACCATTCCTGACATACACCCGGAACCTCTTAATCCGGACGATGGACGAGCACCTCTATCTTTTTATCCTCCTGTGTGACGGAGATGGGGGAGGGGCTTTCGGAAATGTCGTGACGTCATCCGGAACGCGGCGCCCATAGGCTCGTGGCTTCTCAAGCGGAAGAGGTTCCTACCCGCAGGGAGGCGCGCTTCGGGTTCCGATTGGTGGGCGTGAAAAGCGGGAGGCGCTTCTCTTTCTCCAATCAGAGGCCGCGCTGGACGTTGGACCCCGGAAGTGAGGAACAGTCCTGGGGGCTTCCGCGTGGCTTGGCCGGAGTTCCCTCCACGTGGGCGAAGAAGCGGCCGGGCTGAAGGTGGGTGGCGGCGGCGGCGGGGGGGCAAGCGCTTCTGGATCGGTACCGAGAGCCGTCGAGGCCCAGCCAGCTGTTCCCCCTCCCTGAAGCCCATAAGCGAGTCTGGAGGTCCTTTGTTGGCATGTGTGGGGATTCTGGGACTTGTAGTCTTTAAAAAATATAACTTTTCCAGGCTTCTGTTTTTTTTTCCTCCTAAGAGCTGGTATCTAAAGGTGGGTGCAGTAGTCCGGAAAAAGTAACTTTCTGGGAATACAAGTCCCAGAATCCACCAGACAGGAACTATTCTCTTTTTTTCAGGAGGGGGGATTCTGGGCTTTGTACTGCAGAATCCCCCCCCCCCAAAAAAAGCTGATAGGCAGCCAATGGCTAGACATGGA